AATGCATTCATGTTGTTGATCCACAGTAGTGAACTCACAACAGTAATCCTACTTTAATTTTACATTTCATAAAATTTTCCTTGTTATGCCACGTTTAGCTTGAGGGACATAAAACTCTTTACCTTAAATTTTATCTTTACATCAGCTGCACACATTTTTCAATTGTGTTTTTTCTTCAGTTGTTCTAACAGTTTTCTTTAACTATTCAGTTTCATTTCCTTTCAACTATGTTTTTTTGACTGTCAGCATTCCAGTTTTCCTAGATCTTTCACTATCTAGTTCATATTTTTGAACACTGTAGTAAAGAAAAAAATAAGATGGAGATCTGTACTCATTACATTTGCCACATGGCTTCCAGACTGTAGCATACTTTGTGATCAAGAGTATAACGCAGAGAGTTTTCCTTGCTTGATCAGAGTGACCCTTAACAGTATTTACCTCCCTCCTGCTTTGACACCAAACAACAAACTTGCGTGTGTTTTCACTGCAATTCAAAAGAAACATTGAGAAATACATTTATCAGAACTACTATACATAATCTCAGCAAAGCAAACACACTGCGCAGAAAGCACTGAGGCTTCCTCCCCAGGATGGATTGCATCAAGTCCTTTAAAAGGCAGAAGAATTTCCAGGAACCTGACACAGAGAAGAAGGAGGATTCAGAAAAATGGCACATATTGCTATTCCAAAGAATACAACTTTCATGAACTACAGGAATAAAGACTGAAAAGGACATCAGTGATCTAACTGGAAGTCTAGAACACCTGAATGTCTGTATATATTATTCCCTAATTCTTGAGAAGTATCACTGGAGACATTTCAATGTAAAGTTGCTTTGAATATCAGATAAGTAGTTTGCGGCTGTAACCTGAAGTGTGGTTTTTCCATCCAGCCCAAGAGCTAAGCTAAGTGTCAAGTGGAAACGCACCATACTTTTCACAAAAGACTCTCATAGTTTTTCAAGAAAGCACCAATCTCCATACAGAAATTTGCTTGGAAGAATTTGAAGATTTAGTACAAAATAAAACATTATTAAGCTAAAATATTTTTTGAAGTCTTCTGGAAGAGAAGATAGATGTTGTGGGCTAAGAAAGTAACAGGAAATTAAAATTAGTCTAAAAAGTTTAAGGACATAATCTATTAGTGTGATGACAGTTTCTTTACACGACATTATCAGAGAGCTATTTTATGCTCTTCGAAATCATCCGCCAACCTCTTTTGAAAATAGCTAGAATTCTATACTAAGGTTTCCAGTTCCTCAATGAAACTAAACCAGAAGACTTTTGATGCTTGGCAATTAAAGGCTACCCTGATTTTCAGTAAAACTCAAGCTCTGACATACATCTGTAAGTAGGACTGCTCCAGACAGAGACCTGGAACAAAGCATGTCCTTGGATCAGCCCTGCACAGTGGCACTGCAAGAGCCACAGTGAAAGTAACTCATCAAATCACAGCTTTTGCGCTCCTTCTAATAATTGTGCCTGGCCTAACAAGGTCCTTACAGATTGTAAGCGTCTTACTGAAATATCATCAAAAGAGAGTTCGCTAGAGCTGCAAGCAAAGCACCAGTCATATGGAGTCATCACCATTCCCCACACATAAAAAACACATCATTCCATTTCTGTGCAAGTTAGAGCTGCTGCTAGCGGCTTCTTCCAGACATGACCTGAAAAACACTGCTTAGGGGCAGCCTACTATGGCTGTTACAATGGGGTGGATAACCCTAATAGACACTTCATTCTTCCTAATGGTTTGCTCTCCGCTCTCTCATGCCCCAGAGACAGAACCGCTGTTAGAAACCAATCAAAAAACTAAGATTTGGGGCCCAGATTTAATAGTAATAGCCATGCAGAATAAAACTACATCTATGTTCCTAACTTTAAATATTTTATTTTAAAAATCTTTCTACCTCCCCCTAGTGGCCCCAATAGCTGCTTCGAAGGAATATAATAAGCAGAATCCTTTCGATCTCCATATGTTCCCACTTCCTGAGAAAAATGCAGTCATTGGCCTGCCTTCATTCTAATTTGGGGTCTTCACAAAGAAGGAAGAACAAACCTAACTGAAAAACCCCACACCCTCATAAATCACAAAAGTCTTAAAATGTTACAGAAAACGTTTCCAGAACCAGGTGTTTAAGCTACACAGATCACAGAAATCTGAATGAAATTAAAATATCACTTCTAGGAAGCCTTATTTGGACACCAAAGAAAACATTGTTAAAAGTGGGCTACCACCATGGCTGCCCTCATTTTTAACTTCTTGGAACTCCTGGGTCTGATCAGCAATCATTTCAGATAAATGCAGAAGTCATTTTGCATTTTACTGGGAGCTGGGAGGAGAATTGATATGCATGTTGTTAGGAATTATTTTAGAGATCTTCCCCCATCAACACTGAAACCTGTGAACAGAATTACCTCTGACAAACACAATATAGCTGCCTTTATAAATGTAACTTTACTAAGAGGTAGTTCTCAACACACTTCTGAGTTACAAACAAATTCTACAGACTGGATTTGTCTTTTAATACTAAAACTGCATAATTTGGGCACAGTGTACGGTACTACAGTGACACGTTACTGCTCAGATGGAGAAGTTTCCTAGCATCAACAACTACTTTTTTCCTGAAGATCAATTACTAAATTAATACGAAGATGCCAAAACTCATAACTTCTTTTTCAATGTGTTAAACGTATATATGGGAAAGTTTAATTTTTAATACCAGACTATTTTATGCAGAAAAAAAAAAAAATCTCAATTTTGTAACTAGCAGTCATTATTCATGATAAAGAGTATACCCTCAAAAAGTTTGCCAATGACACCAAGCTGTGTGGTGTGGTGGACACGCTGGAGGGAAGGGATGCCATCCAGAGGGATCTGGACAGGCTTGAGAGGTGGGCCTGTGCAAACTTCATGAAGTTCAACAAGGCCAAGTGCAAGGTCCTGCACATGGGTCGGGGCAATCCCAAGCACAAATACAGGCTGGGACTGAGAGTAGCCCTGAGGAGAAGGACTTGACGGTGTTGATTGAGGAGAAGCCCAACATGACTCAGCAATGTGCACTTGGAGCCCAGAAAGCCAACCGTATCCTGGCCTCCATCAAAAGAAGCATTACCAGCAGGTTGAAGGAGGTGATTCTCCCCCTCTACTCTGCTCTCATAAGACCCCACTTGGAGTACTGAGACCAGCCCTGGGGCCCCCAACATAACAAGGACATGGACCTGTTGGAGCAAGTCCAGAGGAGAGCTATGAAGATGGCCAGAGGGCTGGAGCATCTCCTATATGAGGACAAGCTGAGAGAGTCGGGGTTGTTCAGCCTGGAGAAGGCTCTGGGAAGACCTTATAGCAGCCTTCCAGTACTTAAAGGGGGCCCCCACAGGAACAATAGGATGAGGGGTAATGGTTTTAAACTGAAAAAAGGTAGATTCAGATTAGCTATCAGGAAGAAATTTTTCACTGTGGGGGTGGTGAGGCACTGGAACAGATTGCCCAGAGAAGCTGTGGATGCCCCATCCCTGGAGGTGTTCAAGGCCAGGCTGGATGAGGCTTTGAGCAACCTGGTCTAGTGGGAGGTGTCCCTGCCCATGGCAAGGGGATTGGAACTAACGGTCTTAAAGGTCCCTTCCCACCCAAACCATTCTATGATTCTGTGGTTCTGTGATTCTATAGTTCTATGATTATTCACAGTTCTGATGAGAAAAAAATCTAAATAGAAAGAAGTGGCAAACATTTATCTACCTATGCAAAATAACATGTTTTTCTACTGTTCCTTCTGTTTTAAAGCCCAGAATGATATGCTGTTCTCTGAGAAAAATTATTTGCAGGGGGAAATATGAAGCCTACAGGTCTTCCAAGTCACAACACCAGGCTAGAGGCAGAGTTGAAAATATATTCCAAATTTTTGAAATCTCAGTACTAAACTCCTTCCATGAGATTGTATTGCTTCTCTGCATATCTAATGTTAAACATCTAAATAGAAATGTAGGCCAGCTTTAGGTACTCTGGTTTTGATACTTGGGGAAAGGCTAGAAACAGAGGAGAAAAGAAGCAGCAGAGGTAGCTGCAGTCTCTTGAAAAAAAGAAAGAGATTACAGTTCAGCTTAAGAAATGGCAGAGATTCATGCCTCACCTAAACCTTTCATATGGAAACCATTTATGGGACAGAAGCTAGTTTTCTTCAGGAAAATGAAACACAACAAAGTAATTCCAAACAAGTTGGTTGGATTTTAAGAATTATACAAAGATCATACTCTGAACAAAACTTCAGCTGCTGGATACAAAATAAGATACACCTTTAAATCAAGATAAACATTTTATTTTCTCTGATAAAAATGCACTGTGATGCATTTTATAAAGACTAATAGATAGACTAATTTTAATCACTTCAAGAGTTTCAACGATCATCTTAAATACCTGCATATTACTCTTGTCATCATTAGAAAAATGTAACTACAGATAAAGTAAAGGAGAGCACTTAAGTCCTGGTCCCACATACTTGCTAGGTAATAGAGGTAAACATATAAGACAGTTCCAGTCACATCTACAGTTTCAGAGATATTCTAATAAAATTTTAAAAACCTAAAATGAAACATGCATGTTTGCACGCACACACATTGGAAGTATATATTGACACCTATATAATAAAAAGTATGACCACAGTTTTGTGAATTTTATACTATCAGAGCAATGAATCTGAGTTACACAGGTCAAAGTGTTGTTCTATATTAAAAATAAAATACGTATATAACCTAATGATATCATCCTATTGCTATATTGTATTTCCAGATATGTTTAGGGTTGCAGTCCCTTTAGAAGTATTGTACTGAAATGCTCTCTGAATTGCATGCTGCCTTAACAAGAAAAAATTCCTACAAACTTCCCCTCAGAATCTGGAAACGAATTCTGCTTCCGTTTCAGTGTCTACACTACATTTTGTAAAGACGTTGGGGTTTGTCCATGTGCATGAACTGGTTACCTGTGACACATTTGGGAGATTTTACCTGTCCAGCCAAGCCAGCAGACTTTTAGCCGCTCCAATCAGATCCACCACTGACGTCAGAAAATCATTTGGTAATTTGCGGCTGGTCCTTCCATCATAGTGACCACTCCTCCTCCTCCCAGTGATGAAGTTCTGCAGATTTTTGGCAGATGCATTCAGTTTGTGAGAAAGGGTTTTCAGATTTTCTGTTTCCAAACCATAGTTCTGCATTGAAAAAAAGACAAAGAAAGAAAGTTGGCTTTGCAGCTGAACATGAAGTACCAAGAAGAGCAAGACTGCTCCTCTGCTTCAAAATTTAATGATTCCTAATAATTAAGGTAGAAATACACCCACACATTAGTTTTCAAACGTATGGCATGTTCTGTTTCTAAAGTGCATAAAAATAGAACAAAAGAAGAGCAAAATTATGAGTGATCTTTTAGCTGGTTTAAGTGCACTGAGAAAAACATCTCAAAATGAAGAAAAACCTAGTCTGGAAGACTGATTTTCAAAGCAGTCCATCACTCTCAGTAGATCTGATGATTATGCATCAGTCTCTCGTGTCCATATTCACACTGATTCCTAAGATCACATCAGGCAAAAGGGCTTGCAACTAGCAGAAGTATGCTATATGGACACAGTGTGATATGAAATTGCTTTTGTTGGTTTCAGTGAGCGAAGCATGTTCATTACCCTATTTTTATTCTTGTTAACAGTAAAGGACCACCAGAATCACAGACCATAGAACACAGCAGTGCTACTCTGCTCGATGTCTGTCACCCATTTAAAGTCAAGTTGTAAACTTTCCTTCCATTTAGGAGTCAATCCCTTATAACTTAAATTACGTTCCTCAGCTATGCAGCAGAGACAGAAATAATCATGCAGCAATATTAACCAATAGTACTTGAAAATCCTTCCTTCAAATATACAAATGTTGCTGAAATGGCACTAGAGAATGCTTTAATTTAATATTCAATTACAATATAATACAGTAAAATCAGTGACTTGTTATTTCTAGAATAGAATTGTTTTCCTGAAAAATGCAAAAAATAATACTTATTTCAAAAGAGACAGCTTCTTTTGCCTTTGTAGAGGAATAAGCACTTGCATAGACTTGAGTTTATTATCCCTTTAACAGAAAGACGGGTCTACTGAAGGTGTTCCCTGCCATAACCACATCACAGGGTTACAACATGGGGTGCTAACAACTTGTTCAGTTGATGACGGAAAGAGCTACTTACTACAAAGGTGCACTACTTCCTACCACAAGTGATGATGAAGTAGGATGCAGAAAGCCCCTCAGCTGCACATAGAAAAATCTACCTCCTAATGACACCCGCTGTCCTCACCAGCTCTCATCCCAGGCCTGCCAGTTTAGTCCCCATGTTGAACTGTTCACAAGGAGAAGATTTATGTATTTATATTGGCAAATATATTTGCCAATGCCAATTTAAGACTGCTGAAGCTTATTTACCTTAGCCTTTTTTCTATAGGGAAGGGGGGGGGGAGGGTGGTGCAGATTATTTACAGCAGTTGTCATGCTCCTAATCCAAACCATCTACTAAATGAACTTAATCTCCTCTTTAATTATACAGGGACTGTATAGACAGTGTAAATATCCACTGAGGACAGCCCCAGGGAGCCCCCCAGCCCTCCCACAACATCAACTCCCAAATAAATGGGAGAGGATCGCAGGAAGGAGAGACCTCAGCACACAGCTTGTCTGCTGTCTCCTAGCCAGTCCCTCTTCGCACTTGTAAACTGAACACACTTTGCAAGGGAGCCGCTAAAACAAGAGCAAACTTTCCACAGCAGAGGATGCACTTTGGGACTCTGCTTAAGGGGGAAGTGGTCGTACACTAAGGTTGCATTTTAAAAATCTTTGCTTCCCATATTTTGGCCAAGTAAAGCTTTGCAGGCATGTTTCTCAACCATGCAGTTTCTGCGTAGGCGCCATCCTCTGCCACTACGCTCTGTTCCCAATGAGATAAACTGCATGTTTGGGCAATAACTTTTCCACCATGTAAATATTCAACAGCAATTATACAACAGATAGAGTTAGGCTATAAATAAAAAATTACAAGATGAAAACAATAAATTAGGATGGAAAAGTAAAATGTATTTTATTATTCAGCTAAATGGCTCATAACTAATAACTTATTAAATCAGCCCAAATTAAAGAGATAAACATCAGATAAAAATAAATTTGTTTTTGCTGAGGTTTTCTGTGGTTGCTGTGGCTGAGAGAGCAGAATGAAGACTGAGGACCGGGTAGGAGTAAATTGGAAAAAAATACCAGGTTTGTTCTTATTTCATCCTGCTTCTTGAGCATCTAGCTCGTTTTTGACAAAATTAACAGGTGAAGAAACAAATGAAAGATATTCTGGATGAAAGATACATCACACAAAATGTCCTACAGATCATCCAAACCAAACCCCCACCACAAGCAAGCCCCACGACACCTGCACAACATGGCGCTCACCTCCCCCAAATACGGGGGAACGACCACAAACCGGCCGCTGGCCACAGCACTCCTCACAGGCTTTCCTTCTTTTTGACACACTGAAATGTTGAACTTCTTAATTCAGGGGGCTGTTACTAAGAAGCTGAGTGCAATTATCCAAATACCACACTCTCCTTCAATCCATGCACGGTAAGCTATGGTGGGGGTGTGAGCCGGGAAGGAGCTGTCCGGGCCCAGGCACCCACTCGCCTCCCCAGGCTGGCTGCGCACAGGGCCCATGACCAGGAGGCCTTGCACTGAGGTGGGATCTCAATGCCCCTCCTTGACAACCCCCAAATTATTTCACCTCCCTCTCCTTCTCCATCCCCCACTTCGTCACCTGCTCTGTACCTCATCTGCTTAGAGAGGCGGGGGGTGGGGGGCAGCCTGTGCTGGGCCCACCACCGCGGGAACCCTGACAGGCAATGCACAGGCCTCCCGTCCCACCAGAAAGCAGAGCACCAGTAAAAAGAACACCTGCAATATTGAACACTGTGGACCAATTAAAACGATACTCAAAAATTTACTCTACGCCAAGAAAATAGGATATATTTACATATATGCTTCTTTAGAGAAGGAGCCCCTAATAAAAGCCTCTTGTTAACATTTCAAGTGATGGTCACCTACAGACGTACTCTTTTTCAGACGTCTTTTTTCACTGTCGGATGCATGGAAAGGAAGAGACAATGTTAACAGATACAATTCTATTTCCATATACATTCATCAAATATGTGTATTTTCTTTAACATAAAAAAATGAGGGAAAAGTGTAATACCCAAACTACATAAAAAAACCCAGTACTACATGAGGAATGGCACCGATTTCAGTAAAGCCTCCACCTGTAATATGAGACAGATAGAGCCAGGGACGGAAAACATTGAGATAAATTTGAGACAGAATATCTTTTTGGGCAGCTGTGTTTATTGAAGCCTCCAAGTTAGCAGCCAAGCTAACAAAATCCTCACCTTGTTTATCACTAATATTTCTGGCCCACATCAAAAATGAACAAAGAGATGCATGTTCTAACACTGGAAAAAAGCTTGCTCAAATAATAATTGCCAAGTTTAATCATACTTTATATGTGATAATATACTATTAACAATATGGTTTTCTTAGAAATACACTGCATTTATTTTCAAGCAACGTAAGAAGATAATTGCAGGCAAAAGAGACAGTTCTTTGTTTTCCCCTTTGCTGCATTTAGCCAGCACCAACACAAGTTATGCTTTCATTAGCCAAAATAAATTCACAGTCACTGAAAGAACCACAAAGAAAACTCTGCATGCTTGCAGAGATTACGAGAAGTGAAGCAAGTCTACGCATCCGCCTTCTCAACGAGAGGCCACAGAGCAAGAGCCTCTTCAGAGACACCCCACCTCAACAGAAATGGTTCTAATGCAGTCTCTTCTGGCAAGCACAAAACAAGAACTTGATGAAGCTAAGCTACATGGAGTAATAGCTTGTCAGCAGGTGTTCAAACTAAAGGTTGTAGGAGCTATTAATAGACGTTTTACCTGCTAATTACTTTTCTCTGGCTTCCTATGACAGTGTGAGTGATGAATTGTAGCTCTTTTCTTCACATGCTGACAAGCAGCAGCTCTAATCACTGCTGATGAGTTTTGCTTTCTTTTTTTTTTGGTGAGGGGAGCCAGCCTAGTCCCTCTGCCAGCCCATCCTTGCACCAGCACCACAGGATAGGAAGAAAGTTCAGTAACCAAATTTTGGAAGTAAAGCGAACTTTTTTAGATTAGCTTGATCAATGCTCATTAGCTGTTCATCACTGCCCCCCTCCTCCCCCCCGATTAAAAAACCAAACCAAACCAAACCAAAAAAACCACAAGAAACCTGAACTCATTTAATCTCTTTCCTGTGTTAAATTCACTTAACTCTTGGTAGCAGAGAAGTGCACCTCACACTGCTAGCACAAGTTAAGAAGTAAACTGTTCCTAAGTCATATAGTGCTACCTTGCTACCTATCTCTGCTGGCTCAGAGAGAGTGTCAAGAAGCTGCTTAGACCGTTAGTTTAGGGTATTTTTATACTGCCCATTGCAAGTGCAAAGACATCTCCACTAACTAAAAAAGCCAAGCTCAGTTACCAAAAGAAGCTAGATCTAAATACACCACAGTTTGCAATACAGACATAGCCACAGTCCCATTAACAAATCCAGAAACCCCTTAGAATAGATGTCTTGATCACAACTTTTATGCAACCATGAACGCCTCTACATCTCCAAGCACAAAGGCCACATTAAGTTCAAGGACATGATTGACTCCTACAAACAAGCCAACATAGAGAAATGAGTTTACGGCCCCTCTGCCTACCTCCCTAAATAACCGTTTCTTGTCTTTCAGCCCAGAAAGGTGCTGGAGGACAAGTGAAGAAAAAGGCATGCAGCGACCAGTGCTAACTCCTACTGAAGAGACACAAGATGGGAACTGAAGATAATACTGTAATACTGATGTTTGCAGGCAAAAGGAAAAAAACAGCTTCTTCAGACAGGCAGAGCAGATAGCAGTGCTTACATGGATTAATTTCTGCTGCCCCTCTGGAGAAGGCAACCGTAACAGTATAAACTACAGAAGCTAAGTTTTATTTTTCTTTGGCAAATATTTGTTGCCACACACACAAACATTATTTTTTAAAGAAGGAAAAAAATGGCAACCTTTTGAAAAGACAAATATTATAATCTACATAGCTATACTGTGTAACAAATTATGTGC